TATGGGTTAGGCCGTATATATATATTTTAGGTGTTTATCGAAACCATGATACCTCAATCTTGGCCTTATAACTTTTCTTTTAGTGATTACGATTACTGTGTATGCAAAATACCTGTTGTTTAAGCTTGAATGAGAGCTTGTCTTATTCGCCGAACATTGGTGTTAGTGAAAAGTTTATATTTTGTATCATTCTCTGGTGATAATACTGTTATCAGAAGATATTTAAAACTTGCAGAAATACTCTCCACAAACAGCATGCGATCCATGCCAACCATGCCACCATCTGATTGGACAGCGACCTGTGGGCTGGACAAAAGTCAGCCTGCTTAAAATGGACACAAAGCCCTCTGGCGCAGTCTTACGCTCGGGCTCGCACTCTCACTCAAAAGAACTTTGGCTTTCACCTTGGTGAGCGCGACAAAGCGCCCATGCCGTACCATCGCACAAGCGAGACCATCTAAGAACTCAAACACTTCAGAGAAACACGTACGATCTTCAAAGTCTTGCAAACTCAGGCTTTTAGCAGGACTGCTGAAGCCTCTTCCGTAACCCGGCAACCAACCACTCCAAGAGGGCTTCCCCAAAAGAACGTCATTCAAACGTCATTCCGACGTCAAAGCAACAGCCAATCAGCGAAGGAATTTCCCTTCAACAGACATCCAGGAAGCTCGCGTCAGCCACGGAATCACCTCAGGTTTTCAGCTGTCAACCAAGGAAAACGCAAGTACAAACAAACTTTTCAGATCTGCTGAACTGGTGTTGAGCTAAATTAAGCAGTAAAATTAAGACCGATTCTCTGCTTGGGAAATTCTCTAAGGTGAAGTTAGATCACTCGTAAAACGAGTTAGAACTTGGAAGCTTCATAGAATCCGTCAACTCTCATTTCCGTCATCTGAAACTGTATGTGTGTGTATGTGTGTGTTAGTTTAGGTTTTATGTAATCTAGAATAGCCAATAAAATTCATGTTTCATTTATAGAAAATCATTGTTTGGTGTCATATAATTTCAAGGTTAAAACTTTGCCAAGATCAACGTGACCTTTCTTTTTAAGAGCTTACAAATTATCATAATTGTGTTAACCCGTGGCCAGGGGGAAAATACAGATACATAGTCAGTTTGTTAAAATATACTGAAATCACGGCTCGCTGGACGACCCTTGATTTAAAGTGTAACACAACAAATTTGAAATCGGTTTAATCAGGTGGACTTGGGATATTCAGATCCGAGTCCTCTCAAAACCTGAATGAATTAATAATAATTAATTCCCTACAATTACAGTTAAAATTAAGTAACCAAAGTCATTACAGTCAAATAAGATGTATGGCCGGTAAAAAACAAGATACCATTCTAATTCTACAATAAATATTTTTTCTCATCACTAAAAATCAACATTCTGTGCGGGAAAGAGTTTGTATACAAATTGCAGAAGTAGCTATCATATCTTGAATTCCAACTGTTTCTGACATGTATAATTTTTCTGTTAAACTTTTCTCAGTTTTGTTGCATTGCCAACACTCTCTAAAAATGAATTTTGAGAATGTGAACTACCCTTACACCAGTGTAAAATAGTTCAACCCCATAAGAATGATTCATAACTTGTTCATTTGAGTATTAATGGAAGCACTGCGCAAGATTGCGCTGTTTATGCCATTGTGAATCCAAACAATATGATTAAACGTGGTGGGTGTTTGGCTGTGTATGCCGGTGTGTGGCAAGCGAAAATAATATCCCGCCATACAAGGCAACATTCCAAAACACAATAGCATAAGCCGCTTTAACGGAATGTTGTTGCTTGTAAATCTGGCACTTTGTTTTGCCAAAAAGAAGATTTTTGCCACGCTTTGAAAAAAAAAAAAACATGGTTTAGTGTTTGACACAGTGTTCTCTTGTCTCAGGAATGGAGGGGAAAAACGACCAGAATGAACAGCAGTCTAACTCTTGCAACAATAAATAAATAAGACTAATTTCAGACAAATATTTTGAGTTGTTTTTGAACAACTGTCAAGATTTCTTGCCGCACAAATTGTCCCTGACCTCTTAAAAAGTTCACTTTTTCCGCCGTGTGGCAGAAACAGTCCAGACACCCTCACAGCTGTCCACTGACACTGTCCAACAGCACAAGAACAGAGGAATAGCTGGAGGTTTACATTCACCTGCTAGCGTGAGTCACTGGATTCAGCTGCCAATGTCACAGATTAAAGTCATTTCATCGCACAGCAGGAAATAAATAACAGCATAATCTCTGGAGTTCTGAAAACATGCAAGACCTGCATTAAAATGGACGCACATATAGGTAGTTTAGATTAATATGATCAAATATAGGGATGTGGGGATTTTGTAATGATGCTTTCTTTTGGTTACATCATTACACCAGTAGGTGGCGACAAAGGACTGTCTTTATGAGTGAGTCGCCAATCATGCAAACTTTCAGGAACCAAAAAACAACTGACTAAGTTCGTAATAGTGTATTACTCTTTCTATTTCTGTCATATATGGCTGAAATAGTATGGTACTACGTTATTTCGAATTAAACCACGTCATGAATCATTCACTGAACCGATTCATTTATAAACACTCGCTGCATTTGAAATCAAATACTTCCCTATAGTATAAAAAAAAAATGGTGTGCCAAAAGCAGGGGCGGATTTAGTGAATTGGGGGCCCCAGGCAAAATATAAGAATGGGGCCCTGTACATTTGCACACATTTACCTAGATCAACCTTGAGGTTCCTTTTTTGTTGTGATGCTTGCTGTTGCACAGTGGTGCCACCTAGTTGTGTCCAATGTTTCTACATTTTTCATGTACATGTTATAATGGCTTTCTTTAATGTTGGGGATGACGAAATAGCAATTGATTTACATTTGAGATACAGGTTTTCATAAAACCCAAATAAATTATAAAATAATAAATCTCACAATTGAGCCATTAAACCATTTTTAAAAGAGATGAGACGGAAGTGTAAATTATTGTATTGATTTAAAACGGGGTTATGGGTGGATTTTTTTTATTGGTCTGAACAAAAACGGCAGACTGGATTATTGAAAATGAACATTCATTCTCTGCCAGCAGGAGGCGCTTTTGGAACGTAAGAAATATAGTGGTTTCCCCGGTAATGACTGTAAACAAAGCAGCGCTGCGCTCATAAACGCTACTTTACAGATAAAATGAAAATCCCATTGAAACTTTTCTGAAGACAGTCGAGATTCATTCATATAAAAACCTGAATTAGTGAGAATGAGAAAAGTGTGAAAAATAAAGCCTATATTGACGAGGAAAGTCCACTGATGAGTTACCAGCATAAGCCTATATGTGCCTGCGCTCAGCCCAATTGCCTACACTCTCCAAAGGCTGTCTAATTCTAAACTTTAAAATGCATTTATTTTTATTTTAACTACAAATTTAAATGAAACTGAAAAAAAAAATGAAAAGGAAATTATACATTTACACAAGGATTATATCAACCAAGTGAATGCGTCCTCTACTTGGGTTCTTCTCATAAAAGAGTAAGCGGCATTTAAAACAATAAACATATAATACGCACTGTTGCTCAATATTTAATTACAGCTTTAGTCTTCAGATACATGATATTTTTATTTGCTACAAGCATGATACACAAGAAGAATGTTCAAAGCGGACACGCAGATGGTTGTCTTGGTAATAAACACCGTAAACAGCAACCGTTCGTATGTCAGCACTTACATCTCTGAAAAGCATTTTAGGGGGCCCTTAGCTTTTGGGGGCCCAAGGCTGTCGCCTACCTTTGCCGCCTCTGGCCAAAAGAATAGTATGTCCGAATTTATTTGATTACAAAATACATTAATTTGTAATGTATTTCATTAGATTACACAAGTTTTGTAACTTAATCGAAATACTTTGAAATACTAATAAGGTATCTGACACTAAAGGTCCTCTAGAGAAAAATGACATCTGCCAAACAAAGGGCTTGGTTTTCCTCTGCATATCAGTTTCCCACAATATTTCTTAAAGGTAAAAAAATGATGGTAAAAAAAAAATGAATTGGAAGAACAGGGTCAATTGTACTTAGTTTGTCTGCTGGGAAACAGTACTAAATGAAAAAAATATGATCTTTCAACAAACAAGCAATGATCTTCAAAAGTTTACACCCCCTGCTCTTAATGCATCGTGTTTCCTTCCTGAGCTTCATCGGTGAATGTCTTCACCTTTTGTAACAGTGTATGAGTCCCTCAATGGTCCTCAAAACATTCATATAAAGTCAAAGGCTACCAGCAACTGTTTTGTAACTACATATATCTTCTTTTGTGCTCAGCAGAAGAAAGAAACTTGCATTAATACATTTTTGGGTGAACTATTCCTTTAATTCAGTATGGCTTCTAACCTGACTAAAGTCTGTTGAATGGCTGCACATTCTTGGTTTTAATACTCTATATATTTTAATAAATATTTTAGTCTGTTATTTTGTACATTACGGTAGTAAACAAACTGACGTATGTCAGCTTAAACATCAATAACAGCCCTTGTTGGTCAAATTATTTTAGTTTATTTATTTATTTTGTGTAGTTTTTTTAAAGTTTTTAAATGGCTTGAATAATTAAATGTAGTCGACTGTGGGTAACTGTCATAAAGGAACCTCATCATAGCTACTGCATCAACGCCCTGGTGGAGGCTTATGTGATCGCTTTTCTCTCTCTCTCTTTCTTTCTTTTTCCTCTGCCCACCTCCTTTGAGGAGTTGCCTTGTCCCTCCTGCCTGCCCATAAAAGTGGAAACCATGCTGCCTGAAGCCTTTAACTACATTTCTCCTTCTGTCTTCTGGATCTTCTTCCCTCACTTCTCACTCAGAGAGAGATAAACCGAAGACAGAGAGAGGCCAGGAGAGAGAGAGGTGAGCTCTCTCTCTCTTTCTTTCTTTTTCCTCTGCCCACCTCCTTTGAGGAGTTGCCTTGTCCCTCCTGCCTGCCCATAAAAGTGGAAACCATGCTGCCTGAAGCCTTTAACTACATTTCTCCTTCTGTCTTCTGGATCTTCTTCCCTCACTTCTCACTCAGAGAGAGATAAACCGAAGACAGAGAGAGGCCAGGAGAGAGAGAGAGAGAGGTGAGTGCTGTACATATATAATGTGTGCTGCAGGGGGAAAAAGAAATAAAATGATGAGTGACTTGAAATATTGCTCTAAGTATTGATATTGATCTGAATGGGAGTGTACATGGAAAGGAAAATAATATCAGTTCATGCTAGACGTTTCTTGTCTAATCATGTTCCTTGATGATGCAACTTCTTTCTTTCTTTCTTTCTTTCTTTCTTTCTTATTTATTTTTTATCCATCATTTGCCTATATTGTGCAGTTTCCATTGATTGAAAAAAACATGTAATTATTAAATAATTTTTAGAATGTAATTTCCAGGCCTGACAAAAATAAATGGTATTTAATCAAATATTAAAAATGATGGTTATTTCTATTGTGAATCTTGGAGTGTGAAATATTTTGATGTTCCTCGAATGTTTTGGAGATGTATGTATGTTTGTATTTGTTTATTTATTTTCATATTCCATTTCCAGCTCCAGTTACTTAATTATTTCATTACTGATTATTTTTATATTTGAACAATAATTGGTCCTAAATTAATATACTAAACAGAAACAATAACATTTTTGGTAAATTAATATATATATATATATATTGTTTTTTTTAAATTATATATATCTTAAAATTGTGATAAAGCATAGGGTTTGTGATAAAATATGAGAAAATATCAAAACTTTTATTGTGAATTTATTTTTTTAGTACACTAAAATTATTAAATAAAAAAATTAAGGTTTTTAATGAAATATGAAAAATTATGGACACTTCCATATTTACTTCTTTTTTTTTTCTAGTTATCCTGGGCTGTTAAATATTTGATCAGCAAGTGCTCTTTGTGAGTACACTAAAATTATTTTTCCAATAACAAAAAAGTTTTGGAAAATTCAAGGAAATTCATTAGTCAAAACTTTGTGAAACCAGATAACTTACTTTTAGTTATAATAGTTACTTTATTTAAGAAATTATTTAGGATTTTATATGCATTATCATTTATTTTGATATGCAATAATAACAAAGTCAAGTGGCTTCAATCATTTTTTATTTGATTTTGGATTAAAGATAAGTGTGGATTCAGACTGCTGCTTACCACACCTGCTGTTGTGCAAGAGTCTTTATCCAGCTTGGTCTGTACATTTCTAGAGCCTCATTCACTTTAGACACAAGATGATTTAGTATTTGGTTTGTAATGATTATTATCATTATTAATTTAATTAAACAAAAGCAATACAATTTTTGGTAAATTAACGTTAGTTTTTTTTCTTCTTCTTTCTTAAAATTGTGATTTCCAAGCATGAAAAGTTAGGGTACTTAATAAAGTTTGAAACATTATGTACATGTCTATTTTGAATGTTTCTGAGAACACTAAAATTATTAAACAAAAACAATAAAATTTTTGGTAAATTAATGGTAGGGTATTTATTAAATGGGGTATTTGACATTTTTCTATAATTTTCTGAGAAAAATAAAAATATTAAACTAAAGTAATATATTTATAACACACACACACACACACACACACATATATATATATATATATATATATATATATATTAAAGTACCATTTCTTTCCAGGAAAACTATTGTGAACATATTTAACACATTGTCATATGAACAAGAAGTTTAAATAAGTCCAACAAGACTGAAGTACTATACACGTAACACAGTGACATTTTCAATACATTTTAAATTACAGTGAAGAACCGCTTTAACCGTTTAGGATTCAGTCAATGAATGAATCATTAGACTCATTCAGTCATTAGCCTTATTCAGTTTTGTTCCATTTTGAAACTAAGTTTTCCCTTCTCAGAGTTGTTTAGCTGCAGAGCATCTTTTACCTCCATGCATTAATCTAATGACCCTCACAACCCTGCCGTCTCTCTTTCTCTTTGGAACTTTGCTGAGCAGCTTGATTCATTAAACAGTCACAGACGCAGCCTGACCTGTGAATGTTCTTCCGTCAGTTCCATCCAGCTATTAACAGATTGATGTTTTATAACTTTGTTTTTGATCTGAATGAAAGCCATGCACTCTTACACAAATAGGAAAATAAAGGAAATCCAAGGAAGGCGAGTCTTGCTTGGGATTTTGTAGGATTTCGGATGAATTGGCTTGCTTCGTTCCCTAGAAATGTTTTGTGACAAGTGAAAAGTAAACATTTTTTTATTTAATAGCACGTACTGTAGTTTGGATCATGAATGCAGCTATTGTCCTGACCTCGATCTGAAGGCCGAAAGCTGTGTACCGTACAAATCTTCTCTTCATAGACTATATTGCAGGTCTTCCCTGGCAGTAGTTTCTCATGTCAGATCAGCATCATGCTGAAACAAGAACACCAAAATGTGGCGGACCAACAGTCCTCAGTTTAAGAGAGGTTTGGCTCGCGGCTTAGATTTGGTTTCTAAGACGCCAGATATCTGAAATCTGACAAGACTCAGGGCTAATCAAAAATTGATGCATTTATTATGTGGACTTTATCTGGAAAACTGGAAAAGCCCAGTGTTCTATCACAAAGAAAAAAATATAACAGGGAGCAGTTTGATCTTGTTTTTTCTTCTTCTCAGAATTGCGTGGTAAAAGCTAGAAATGGCAAGTTTTAAAGTCAGAACTCTGAGATATAAACTCGCAGCTTCAAGTTATAAAGTCCAATTCTGAGGGGAAAAAAGACTATTTTCTTACAATCGCGATTTCTCACAATTGTGACTTTATAACTCGCAATTGCGTATGGTCAGAATTGCAAGATATAAACTCTTAATTCTGAGAAAGTCAGAATTGCAAAAAAGTCACAATTTACCTTTTTTATTTTATTTAGCGTCAGAAACAAGCTTCCATATTTACAATATCACCATCAAAATATAAACATCGCCAATGAGTTAATATAAGGAATTGTACTGTAATAGCTACTTAATGAACAGTTTAAATTGTTGTTTGAATCATTTCTAATTGTGATTTTATCATTTACATTTGAGTTTTGACTTGGAAATGAGCAAATACTCTACAACAGACTTCCACATCTGCATCAATATCTCACCTACACTATTCATTTGTCAAAGCACTTAATAATCACGTTAAAGTATTCATGTATAACCTAATTAATATTCATGAGCTACATTTTTTATGAACTCCCAAGCTGAACCTGACTGAGAAAACATTTGCTTCGTGGAGTTTAGATTTTTATTTCAGTCAGGTGTCTTTTTTTTTTTTTTTTTTTGGTTTGGTTTGGTCAGTGTGGATGAACACACAGTAGTATAGGGATGGTGTGAAGGTTGAAAGTGTGCAGAACGAGAGGACATGGGCTTGGAATCTGACACATGCGCTCACAAACGAACTAGCGCACCTCTAGTCCTGGCCAGTGTTTGCAGTGATATAAATCACCAGCATCAGTGTCCAGCTGGAACAATGAAAGTCATCTGAGGCCATCTATTAGTGCCGATAAAGTATTCAGAGCATAGTTAGAGATTAGGAAATTGATTGGACATAAAAGACTGCATAGATTGCACTGGTGCATATTTGGCTTTGTTTTTGAACACTGAAATGGAGTGCAGTAACCATTCCCTGGATCTGGCGCCCTTTGAGAGCTTTAACTTTGCAATAGTGGTAAACTATATTATTATTTATTATTATTATTACTATTATTTATTTTTTTATTTTTTTATTTTACAGTGTGCATTTTTTTCTTAATTAAAACTAAATCTTTCATTTATTATATAAAAATAAATATCAGGTAGCTACTCAGGTAGTTTAAATAATATCAAATATTATTAAGAAAAAAGTCAACAAGGCAAGCCAAGGCAGCATTTGTAGTTTAAGTACTAAAATTACAAACTAAAACTGAAATAAAATGAATAACAACTATATAGACAAAAATTACAAAATTAAAAAGCTAATAAAATTGACAAAACACACACAAATATAATCACAAATTTTAGAACAAAAATGGAAAATATAAAAGCAAAAACTTCAAAATTCTAAATATTAATAAACATATATACCAAAATAACACTGATATACAGTAGATCCTGTCTTTGTTTTACCCCCTTAAACCTGTGGCCTCATATTTGGCTTGTTGATATACAGTCAACCCCAAAACATTTTGAATATAGTAGAACTGAATGCTCATTCTATAAAACGTGTGGAAAGAGAAATGGCATGGGTTTTATTATTTTATTTTATTTCATTCTTTTATTCGTTTATTTTTTTTCTTCACAAGAATCTAAGTGAGTTTGCCTGGTATGAAAATTAGTTTTGGTACCTAGTTCCTGAGATGGAAAAATATGATTTTCTTGAAAGGTCAGCCATAACCTTTCCAAATGAAATGATTAAAAAAAAAAAAATTTTTCCTGTCCTTTTCAGGCACAAATGGCACCCATTCCATTTTTCATAGATGAGACAGAAAGGATTTCTGCTGCCTCATCATAGCTTATATACTGCCCAAAATCTCTTATTCCCCATAGACTAAAACATATGGTTACATGAAAAACTTGCCTTCTACCTGAGAGAGAAAAGCGAGTGTGTGAGTTACTCAGTGAGCGAGAGAATGTGTTTTACAGCAGGCAGCAGTTCTGGCTCACGGTCCGTTCAGTCAGCTGATTCTGCATTCCGCCGTCCTGAGGAATAACGCAACTCAACCTCAGTGTATTTCAGCAATATCACACCAGGAAGACTCCACTGTACTGAATATCGATACAATGGCCAGTTAATATTGTGTAACTTTAATATAGTTACTTCTTTATAAAAAGGCAACACATTTTCTTTTTGGTGTAGGGGTATGGTTAGGTTTTGGGTTTGGGCTTTATATTAAATAATAGTATGTGGTTTGTGGTAATTAAAATTAATAAAGGAACAATAAAGGTTCCAAAACATTTACATTCAGGCATTTAGCAGATGGTTTTATTCAAAGTGACTAATCAAATTTGTCAAGGAGCCATCAATATTACAAATAACAAAATGAAAGCTTTGGAAAGGGTCTTATCACTGCGATGCTATGGATGCACAATTTTTGTGCCATTAAAGATCC